TTTTTTTTTAAGAGGACAAGAGCGGCGAGGTCTATCGCGATAGCTTAATTTCTCTATCGAGTAAAAGTTATATCGCGATACATATCGTTATCATTCTATCGCCCAGCTCTACATGATCCTAGTGCAAAGACAAGTGGAAGCAGACAAAAACAACAAGCACACATGCTACAAACTTTACCCGAGTCATTTAGACAGCGGTTAGCACATGATTCTCCTTATGGGGACCTGAAATGTTTAATATGCTGCTGAGAATATACCCCAGAAGATAGATAGTTAATGATTTATGTAATAATTTAAAATAAATTATTTATGTTTTTATGAAATACAATATAATTATGATATTTTAAAAATCTGTTTGCAATTCTTATAATAATAAACTTTAAAATGTACCTAAATATTTGATCATTAATGCATTCTGTAAATGTGTGTATCAACAAATACTGTAGAATTATCATAGACAACAGTAATGTATGATTACACTATCTTGGACTTACCTCAGTATTCCAACTGTAGATTGTATAGATATTGGATTTATGTGGTAGATGATTTTAGTTATCATCCTACTGCTATTTGTGCATCCGAATCGATTCAGCCTTTTAAATCCTGATTGAAAACCCATTTATTCAATCTAGCTTTCCCTGGTTAGTGTCGGTATCCTGCAGATGTTCCCTTATGTAGTTTTAATCATTTTACTTTATTGCTGAATAACCTCTTAGTCAAGTTGTGTTTTGTATTTTCTTTTATTTTTTACACTGCGTTGGTGTATTTATACCCTGTTATTGTTCCTATCTCTAATTTATTGTATGACTGTGAAGCACTTCGGTGAACCACTGGTTTTTAAATGTGCTATACAAATGAAGTTGTTTTGTATTGTATTGTATTGTATCATTGTGAGTTCTTTGATGTTGTGTACCTGTGAGTAAGTAGGACTGATTCTTCCTCCTCCTTCACCATTAAATATGTAGATGCTGCCTTCACCATTATTCTCCAAAGGTGCTCCAACTGCCAAATCCCTGAATCCATCTGAGTTTAGATCAGGCAGCACAGCAAGAGAAGAGCCGAACCTTCCTTTGACAGCTGCATGTCCTCTTAGTACTAATGGATCAAAATTACACTCCACAAACTGAAAGGAAGAGAGTGAATATTTTATAGTTAATAAAAATTTGACAAATAAAACGATTAATTTAATTGGATTAGATGAAACTGTGATTTACCAAACCAGTTAATCTGCAAACATAAACTCTTCCCTCTCTATCAGGCTCCATGTACATTGGAGAAGATATGAAGATTAGATCAGTGATGTCATCATCATTTGTGCCCATGGTACACACCTCTGCCCCGAAATATTCCCCAGTCTGATACTGTGTAAGGAACACATTATTATTCTTTTATTTGAGAAAAATAATTTATATATTATTTACAAGGTCATTCAGATCTGTCATGCTGCAAATTCATACCTGTGATGCCAAGGGCTCAATTATTTGATTTTCAAAGTTTTCTCTGTTAACAGCGACTGTTAACTCCTCTGTGTTTATATCTTGGAGCACCAACAACTGTCAGAGAGCCGCTTTGAGTTTTAGCAATTGCCACTGAGTAACCTAGAATTTAGGTATTTAAAATGAGAAAAATGATTAAGTCTCCTCTTTTAAATTGTGCCCATTTTTCAAACTCATTGGTGTTTTTTACATGACAGAATTACAGCAGAGCTGTTTATATACATGAACACATTTGTATGAATTAGATTGTCAAAGCTGTAATATTCTTACCAAGATAACTGTCAGGCTCCAAAGACACATCCTCATATGTTTTCACCTTCTGGCCTCCTGTTGTGTATTGCACGTAGCCTCCCTTCCACTGGTTTGCACCAACAATAGACATCTGAATTCCCTACAGTGTAGACAGAAAATACATTTTATATACAATTTATTTTCACTTAAAATCCGGACTGTGTTTAACTGTTTATTTGCCTTTAGGCCATAAAAACTGCCACAAAGGCACATGTGAATCTTTCTTTCTATGACTAAACTGTCTGGTGATTTTCAGGTAGTTTTAATTACCTCAGGCACATGAATTGCACTGAATCCCTCTTGAGATATTTCCATTTCCATTGACTCTCCACTGCTTTGAGATCCTGTAACAGAAAAATAAACAAAAAGGTAAAAGAGAGACACAATACAACAAATTAAATTTTACAGGTTCATTCTTTCATTATGCTTCAATTAATTATCTTAAATTATGTTTTTACAGTTTATTATAAAAGTGAGCATTTATTGTTCATTTTACAAATGTACAGTTACGTTTAATTTAAAATGTGACTTTAATGAATAAAATACAATAAAGTTAATAGAATGTGGTGATTTAGTTTCTTCTTAGTGTAGCAGTTTACACATTAAATGAACGTTTACTGCTTCAATTCAAGAAGGACGCAAATCCATGTAATAAATGTGAAATAAAATCCTTGTAAATAAGTGATCAGCTCAAAGTAGCATTCAATACAATGTAATTATTTTCATTTTTCGAACATTTACATTTACTTTAAGAAAATTGTAACAATAAAAAAATGTTTGTACCTTCGATGGAGAAAATTTTGTCCTGCAGAATGTGTCTTATTACTTCAAGTGTGTCAAAGTTCTTCACTTGAAAGACGTGTTTGACTGAGGGAGACGATGCAATGGTGTGCAGTTCTCTTCTGGCATAACGGTCAGTAAATACATCCCCCACCTATGATTGTTGACAAATTTGTTTGAGTCCTCATACTATGCATAATGTTTTGCTGACTTTATTAAAATGTCATTAAACTTGATTTTTAATAAAATTTACACACAGACATTAAACTCTCTAACCCTGAATAAAACCCAAATCCAGGATAGCATTTATCTCATGCTGTAAAATAGTTTTAATATATTTTCCTCTAGTAGCTAGATTTGTTTTACACACATATCTCATGTTTCCATCAATATTTCAGCTCTTTAATTTATTTAAGAAACTTAATTTCAAGTTTACATGGTCAGCTTATATACAAATGTGTGGCCAGTATATTCAATTCAATTTTATTTTATTTATATAGTGCCAAATCACAACAACAAGCTCCTCAAGGCGCTTTATATTGTAAGGTAGACCCTACAATAATAGATAGAGAGAAAAACCCAACAATCAAATGAAAATGAAAAAACCCAACAATCTTTGAGCAAGCACTTTGGCGACAGTGAGAAGGAAAAACTCCCTTTTAACAGGAAGAAACCTCCAGCAGAACCAGGCTCAGGGAGGGGCGGCCATCTGCTGCGACCGGTTGGGGTTAGAGAAGGAACGCAGGATAGAAGACATGCTGTGGAAGAGAGACAAGAGATTAATAACAGATATGATTCAATGCAGAAAGGTCTATTAACACATAATGAGTGAAAAAGGTGACTGAAAAGGAAAAATTCAATGCATCATGGGAATCCCCCAGCATCCTATGCCTATTGCAGCATAACTAAGGGAGGATTCAGGGTCACCTGATCCAGCCTAAACTATATACTTTAGCACAGGAGTCGGCAACCCTGGGTTGGGTTAACTGATGGCACAACCATAGCTGGACTGGCCATCAGGCAAACCGGGCATTTGCCGATGGTGATTTTTTGTTTTTATGGGCCTGAACTTCACGTAAGAAGTTATGACCTGCAGTCTATCTGGGTCAGATAGGAACCAAGTTTAGGTAGAGTTTATTTTTGTTATGCTGACTTTTTACAGTCAGTTACAATAACTCGTACTGCGTACTAGCTAGCATGATGGAGTTTCTATACAGCTGGGCGGGTGCTATGATGTTACTGATAGTGAACTTTATTTTATTCATAAGGTTAGTTAGTAGAGTTGCCAACCGTTCTGTAAAAGACGGAATCGTCCCGCATTCAGAGAAAACGTATTGAGCTGAAAAGGAACACAGTTTGTCCTGTACTTCAGCTAGAATGGAAAAAGACACAAAGCTGAAGTAATTCTGCGTCTTTTCACTGCACAGCTGTTTCTTCTTCTCTCATTCTCCCCCCTCCCTCTCCTTTTGCTACTTCAATCACGAAACTGATCAATGATGAAACTGATCAGCTTTTCTCTCTTGTTTGTTTATCGCCCACTTTGCGCCAGAAAGAGGAAACCAGCGGATGTCGCGCTAAACAACAGCAGCACGTTTAAGCTTGATCAGCTGTTGTTAGAATTTATTTAATATTAATTTCTAGTATCAGCTGATGTTTGCTGGAGCCACAGCTGTAAAGCTGCTGGTCATGATCGGTTTGGATATGTGGTGAGAGGGAAACATGAAGATGAAACCAGGAGATGTCCTTACTGAATCATCAGAGCTGAACAGGTGATGGAGAAACAGGTTTACCTTTTAGGTGACATGAATGAGTTGAAGGGAAGTTATGAACTGTTTCTGAGAGACAAATAACACCAGGATCCTTTTTTTAGTAGCTGACAGCTGGTAACTGTGCAGGGGCGGGTCTAGCAAAGTTTTGCCAGGGGGCCAGGTAGGGCATTAACAGGGAAAGGGGGGCACAAAGAAATACTTTTATTTCTTACTCTCATTTTTAAAATGTCTAGCTTTTAATAAATAATTATCTGAATCTTACAACCAAAGTTTTTATCTGACGTAAAATGTATAGAAATCATAGATATACCAACAAGAGTGTTTTCCTATAACACCTGGTGGGCCAGTCTCTAGTCAAAATGCCTGCGCAGTTTTTTTGTCCCAGTCCAGCCCTGGGTAAGACACGCGGTGAATTAATCTGAGAAGGCGAATTAAAAAATAAATGGCTGTGCCAGTGGTGCACATCGCAAATTAGCTCCCATAGACACATTAGTTGTGCTGCTTCTTAATGACGGTATCTTAGCTAACAACCCCCAATTACCAGATTCAACTTGTAATTGGCTAAAAATCACTTAGCCTACTGGTGAGAGGGACGTTGCTAGCTGGCAGTTTTTCCAATGTGGCAGGATGAATATTATGTCTTGGTTCATCCCACTTTCAGTCAGGCGCATTAGGGGGCGCTAGTATAAATAGGAGCAGCCATCTGAGCACACCTGAATCGCGTACCTGTTATCTCCTTTCGGTCACCTGACTTCGCCCGGTGTTGCAGGTAGGAGCTGCGTACATGTCGTTGTTGCCTCAGCCTGAATTGGCAGTACTTGTGTTGATTGTGGTGTTCGTGTTACAGAGATCACCCGTGGATTTCCTTCCTGAAGCCTCCATCGTGGCTGGTATGTGTGTATTTGGTGCTGTGCGTACATTATTTAGCTGTGGTAAACCAGTGTTGTTTATAGGTCATAGCTGTAGAAGCCTCCTATGGGCCACTCTGTTCATGAATTGAGTGACGCCGTTTAATTGGTACGTAACTCAGCTTCGTTGTGATCTCTGCCTTTTATTGTTGTTTTATAGTAAACGCTTATTATGTATTGCAGGAAGTGTGGGCCTTAGAGGGCAGCCAGTAGCTTTACAGCAAGGTCACTACGATTTTCTATGCTACGCTAACAGAAGTGCTGCTGCTTTGCCTTTTACCGTCTGTTTCCGTTTGCGAGGGTTATTTTTCCCTGCTGCTGCCAGCCTCTTAAGAGTGGATGTCAGCGTGGACAGCGGCTACATACATGCCGGCTACGGGAGTCAGCTGGCGTGCATGTTTTGTTTTTTTTTAAATGCTGGCGTGCATGTTGATAGACTGAATTGTTAAATTAAAGTAGTCGGGCGGACAGCAAATTGGAGTAATACGGTAACTCCGTCTGCTCTAGATTTAAGGTTTTATTTAGTTTGTATGTTCGGTTGTTTTGATTTGTAGTTTATTTTTTTTGTTACACCACCGGTAGGAGGCCCTTTATTGAGTTGCGGATCACCAGTGTGTTCCTGCAGTTGGGCTAACCCCAGTGTGTGCAAACTATTTTTTTTGGAATATATTAAAATTTTCTTTGTTTCTTTTATTCAGATGTGGAGGGCCTGACGTGGAGGAGACCGGGGTGCCTTGGTTGTGGGATCCTTTGAGTGTTACACACCTGCATTTTTAGTTTATTAGTGTGAGCGTGTGATAGTGTGCTGCACTTGTGTATTGGTGAGTTTTCTTTTCTTTTTGAGCTGTTTTTGTGCGTGGCATCCCTGCCCCTCCACTGGCAAGCCTCGGCTCGTGTTTTTATATGCTGTTTTAAATCATTATTAATAAATTGTCTGTTTTATCACTGATAAAACAGTATATTGAGTATAATGGATCTTAGTGTCTTCCTGGTAATTAGCATTATTTAGATCCAGTATTCTTTGGGTGAAATTCACAGGGTGGCATTGTCTTTTAAATTGAGTATTTATTCCATCCCCACCTCTTGCTGCCACACCAAGCGACGTTGACATTTCCACATTCCAACACTTCAAATGCTTCAGGAGCTGTCCACTCATCAGTATCAGCACCACGTATATACATGGATACATCCGAAGACTTGAGACAGAATTCACAATTTGTTTTTGGGACTTTCAGGTGTATGGACCAATGTATTTTTTTCTGATCAAACCAGAAAGCTTTAATGAGCAGCTGGATTTGTCTTGCATTAACTGGCTGGACACAGAGGACATCGAAGTGCACCTGATTGAACCAAAAAGCTCGACTCTGTGGGGGTCAAAGTTTGCAGAACTACAAATGCAGTTGGAATCCATAGCTGTGCGTGTTCATGGAGCTTGCATTTTCACCTGCTGGACATCACTACCTGACAAGTTTAACTGTCTTCAGAACATTGCAGAGGCCTTATTGACAGTATTTGGCTCTACATATCTGTGTGAGCAGATTTTCTCTCACATGAGTGTCCTCAGGTAGCCGTCTGAATGCTGGACACTCGTGGACCTGTGTCTCTGTATTAACAAACATGCCATATTGGCCCAGTTTATTTTTCTTATCATTGTTGTGAGGAGACCATAAATGCATTTGCATTTTCTGTTGTACAGTTCATTTGCTGTTATGGAGTTCTGTTATTAAAAAGTGTTTTTTTTGTTTCAAAATAGCTGATAACTATTCGCTGATAGCTGCCAACATCTGCGAACAAATATAATTCTATAAAGTTGTTCTATATAGTGTGTAACTGTTAGATATAGAGCGTTATTACAATTTA